TCTCTACCTAACAGCTTGCTGTATGCCACCTCATTATGGAGGCTAAGTACAGACATTTCTAACATTACAGCTCTGCCAAAATGCTTGATGAAAGCTTGTAGATTACTCTGGCTCGTAATAAAATGATGAGTGGAAGGCAACACATACACCAATTGCTTTGTGTACTTTGTGGTGCAGGAAATCAAATCCCCTGAAGATCAAATTTCAAAGAAACCTTTCTATCAGACTGTTTTGATTTTGATTTAAGCCTACACCTCTGTGAGCTTATATTTAAGTCTACTGTTTAGCCTGCTGTTATCTTTATGTGCTTGATGAAAGTGTGTCTTGGTGTCTATGTTTCTGTGTATTTATATGGATGAATCTAGGGTTATGGGACAGGCATTGTATTGCATTGCCATTAACTTGAAAAAATGTACTTTCAATGGTGTCAGAGGGACTTTGAATGTGCATCAATCTCTGTTGTATGCTCAAATAGTGGAGGGTATCTTGAGAAGTGATTCTGTGGAGAGACATCCGACACAGATGTGGACTACCATGTAATTACAGGCTGTATTTAAGCACTGTGTCACTTTATGATTGCTCAGTATGTCTAGAGAAAGGTCCTTGTAATTGAAGTGTCGCTACTTTTTTAAGAAAAAATAAAAGGTGATAAGTGTGATGAGTGTAAGAGAATCCACTTTCTTCTTTGTATCAAAATGATGTCACCAACTATCTAGCAGCAAAATGTTGTCACTGACAGGATGTACAAACACTTGCATGCCCCCGCAGCCTGACCCCAGACTTTCTCTCTTCTCTTTTCCATTGATCCCTCCATTGCTGACATTGATTGTTTTATTTTTGTGTACTGCGTGATTTGTTTGTGGCTTTGTGTGCTGCTCCGTCGTTTGCTCGATTGTTCTTCAACAGAACTTGCCTCTAATAAGACAAACAAGCACCATCATGCTTATTTTTCAGATCTTACAAAGTGACACTAAACAGTCACATTAGCTTGGAAATTTTGCTGCAGTCTCTTAACGGAAGACATAATTGCATTAGCGTTATTACAGCAGTAAATGTCATTTGAAACAATATAATGAGTCTTTAATGAGTACTCACGGAAAGGATGCCTGTCATCTGAGTGTAAAACAAGCTACTCATGCCACCAAACATGACCAAACCCATGAGCGCCGAGACCCGCAGCAGAGCCAGTTCATGGCGTGTTGTAAACTTCTCCTGGCAGGAAAAAAAAAACAACAGAAAACCCTCTTGTTTTATAACCTCAAAGCTTTGTATTGGTGAAATATTACCTTTTATATTTGTGTTTGTGTTATAGCTGATACAAGTATTTAGCACAGTCACATAGCACAGTGAATACAGCTAGAGTTCAAACCGCTGCACGTGCATGCCTGAAATGCAGTCTGAAAGCTCTTAAACATGTTTCTGTTACTGAGTATATCATTTATATCCCTGTAGCATGTACCTGGTCTAGTCCTGTCAGTGGCTGGAAGTAATAGTACTGGCAGAAATCCAGCACCAGGGTGAACAAACTGAGGACCTGAGTGTAGAAACAGAGCTGCAGAAAGAGCCAGTGGTTGTCTTCTCCCACACAGTTATTGATCCTGGAGGGAAATACACAGGATTTAAGATATTACCTTATATCTTTTTTGTCAATATTCATGGTAAAAGAAGTTTTCCAAGAATTATATTTGCAGCAAAACCTGGAAAGCTTGATATACAATTAATAAGATTTGTAAGGTAGGTATACAATCATGGTAACTACAAACAAAATTGAAAAAATACATAAAATGCAGCTCAACATTTTCTGACATACTGGGCAAATGTGTGTGGCTCTGAAAAATGTCTAGGACCTTGTACTACGATTATTATACAGCTATACAAACTGTTCCACTGCCATTTAATACATGCATCACATCGGCAGTGTTTAAGTCTGCTGTCTTTCTATTTATTTCCACTTAATAACACTGTTTTCAATAGGTGTCTGATATGCAAGTTGTGTGTATCCTTACCAAGGGCAGTGGTGGTCCATTCTGCGTACACAATGGCCACAACGACTGCAGTGGTGCGACCTTTTGGGCCTCATTAAGTTGCACTTATTGCACAACTCCCAGTGCTCTCGCTCTGTGACATAAAAACACAATGACTCGTTGATTGGTTGTTACTGATAGTGTTGGCAATGGCAGCAGACATAGTGACACAGTAATAATATATTCAGACCTAGACGTATTTACTGATTTTAATTTCACATGGACATTAGCTGCAATAAATCAGCTCCACTTATGTAATAAGAGAAACACAATTGGTAGAGAATGAAAATGTTGCATTGACTATGTTCAGTTATTTACAGGTATAAATATTTATGGATAAACAGTTGAACGAGCACATACCAGAGTGAGGTATGTGGGGGTCCACAGGAAGACGGCCAGGATCTGCTGTGGAGGCTCTGAATAGGGCCGCTATGCAGAGCGCTGATGCTATGTAATAACCTGTGGGGAACATGCAAAGTTTGCATGTGATCTTCTGTATACAGCCTTTTTTCAGTGTTCCCTCCCCAAAAGATGAGAAGTGTTATTTGGGAACCAGGATACTCACAAACAACAATGGCCCACGGGATGTGTCCCTCATTGTAATGTGGATGTAGAACCAGTTTCGGGATAAAGAAAGAGTTGTAGAGCCAGATCCCAAACACCATGCTGATACACAGCCAGCCCATGGGGTCCACCACACAGTGCAGTCGAAGCTTCATGGCTGCTGGGGGAGACCTACAGTATACACCATCACGCCGACAGATGCAAATCATCTCCAAGCAAGAGACATAAGCTGGCTCTCTCACACACACACAGTGAAAAAGCCTGACATACATGTTTTACTGTGATTCCTATCTTAGGCTGTGATACCATCACCCACCATGTTTGCATCACATAGCTGTGACTCTTTGCCAAAAACACAGTTACATGGCAGTTATTATGTAGAGATGACTGATGAACATCAACATAATATGACTGAGAAGCCATGTACTGGGAAGGGCAGAATAAACCTCAACACAGGCCTACTACTGTGCTATAAAGCAGGTGTACATAAACAAGCCCAGCCTTAAATTACAACGCTAACACACATTTTCTATATTAGCATCACCTGCTGAGCTAACCCAGCCTAAATAAGCACAAGCACCCACATAAACCTCCTGCTCTGCGTTTAAACCTTTGTTATTACAAAGCCTCGCCTGCTCCATCACTCATACTCCTGATACCACTGACAGCCGCGATGGGCTTGGCTCTATAGCCTCACTGTTAGCTAGCACCAGCGGGCTAACGTTATTTAATTCACCCCCGTGTTAATATACAATTTATATAATTCAACATGTTTAGCGCCAGTAATGGTTTCCTAGGTGAAAATGAAAAGATACATACTTTTTTGTTGCTGTCCTATTCAGCGCACGTACCAGTGAAACTAGCTACTTCCTCATCCGAGCCTCTGTGGGCTGGACAGGAGCTACCTCCTCGATACCTGCAGTACATAAAAAGCACTTCCGGTTGACCTGGGTTTACAAAATAAAAGTGATGCTAATGATGCATGCACACATATGTAATAAGAAGAAAAAGCTCTCTGTATTATGCACATTTTATTTTTAGTTGATTTGAAATTTTCTTTATATAAAGAAACTACCAAAAACAAACACTATAAAGGATTAGTTAGTTCACAGAAAATAAATGAGCACCAAGTATGATCATTGATAACTGATTAATCTTTCAAGCAATCACTTTTGAAGCAAATGTGTCCACAATTCACTGCTTTTGGCTTCTCAAAAAAATAAGATATAGCCTATATAGATTTTTGGAATATTTATTACTTTAGTACAGCCCTACTGTAGTCTATGTGCATTACAATTAAGCATCCTGCTACAAAACTATGTAACATGCTCTCTGTTTTAGTTATGTTTCTCCATCTAATATTATTTTTCATTACACTTACTTTCTTATTTACCTCTGTGAGTTTCCTTATGTTGCCTTTTGTGGTGTACTGGCTGCTACAGTAACATAATTTCCCCCTCGGACAATTGAGTTTTGATGAAAAACAACAACAATGATTAATAAAGTATAAGATAAGATAAGCTATGACTTTATTCATCCTGAGGGAAGTTGCTGTGCAGCAGTGTCAGTATAAAGTTAGAGGAGTGCAGATACAAAGCGTGCAATATGCAAGGACTAAAATAACAAAGCAGAAAAGCAAGCAAGTAGAAAATACAATATATAGCAAATATGCACCAGATATAAACTAGATAACAGTAAGGTGCAAAATATAACAAAAGTATCTAACAGTAAGGGACAAATTGGTGTAACCAGTATATACAATATGTATAATGACACAGACAGGTTACTGGTATGATTGATTGATAGATATGATTGCTTATAAATATCTTTGTATAGTGTCAGATCTGAGTGCAGAGGAGCAAATATTTATGATTATGTCCATGACATTTACTGATTGATAAAATATTCTATCTATCTATCTATCTATCTATCTATCTTGCTACTGGTGATTGCTCCAGATATCCACATTCTTCAGAGAAGAAAGTGAACTCCTTCGGTGGGAGCTGACTAATGCTTGGATTCTGATTTGACTGCACACCCCTTCTGGCTTTTATTTGAACAACATCCATGTTTCCTTTTCTACCTCGGTACACTACGGCAGCTTGATGCAGCGCTTGAGGACAGGTGGGCGGTGGACTCGTTTGGAGCGCAGTGCACCAGCGGCCAACGGGGAAAACAGTCTGCTGCCGCCCTCTGGTGAAACATGATTACTACATGTAGAGGCGGCTTGCTTCGTTGACTTCTTTGATTTTTAAATTGTATTATCAAATTTAATTTGTAGGGTTTAATGCTTAATATGTATCACAACGTATTACATTATCATTATTATTTTTTATTTTATTTTAATAAAATTAAACGGACGGTTAGCTCACTGACGTAACATGGAAGTGACGCGATTCAGCTTCCGCTAGCTTTAGCGGCCGGTGTTTGTTGACAGCAACGCCGCTTAGCTCAGCACCACTGTGATAGTTTAATTGTGCTGTCGGGCAAAATGGCATCGTCTAACTCATACAAACTAAGATGCTCCATCCCGGGTCACGAAATGGACGTCAGGGGACTCACAAGTGCTGTTTTTCCAGAGGGAGCTTTTGTGTCGGTGTCCAGAGACCGAACCGGAAGAGTCTGGGTTCCAAACTCAAGGTAGCTAGCATTAGCAATGTACATTGTTTGGTGGAATTTATATCAGTTTTAGAAGTAAATCTGTTGTCAGGAAAGGTGCCACGACCCATAAAAGTAACAAGTTAAGTCAAATCTCAGCAAATTTACTCAATAGCATTAACGTCGGTAACGTATGTAACGTTGGCTAAGTTAGCTTCTATGCCGTTTGCTAACGTTCACTCAAATTAGCTTTGTCATTCATTCAACTGTAATCGCCAATACACACAGCGCGGATAGTCGAGCACTTTCTAGAGTCCGACAGATTTAGATTGGTATTTTGTCTTTTGTCTGTTAGTGAATTTCCTGACTTTTCTTATAATTATCAGCCACACACTTGTCAACCACTTGTTCCCACACAACTAACCCCGTCCACTACACGTCTTTGCTCTCTCACCCCTTCTCTTGACAGCCCAGACAAAGGCTTCACAGAGATGCACAGCATGTCTGGACACTCCAATTTCGTATCTTGTGTATGCATCATCGCACCCAGTGAAACATATCCCCGAGGACTTATCGCCACAGGGGGAAATGATAACAACATATGCGTTTTCACAATGGACCAATCTAAGCCCCTATTCACACTCACGGGCCACAAAAACACAGGTGAGTTTTGCCTCACTGTACACTTCCTGGATAATTACATTTCAATAAGCATCTAATTTGCTCTGCTACAATTTCCCATTATGTCAAGCACCTCAGCTGTGTATGTGGTCCCAGCATTTTAACGTTTAATCTCTACAGTTTGCACCCTGTCTTCTGGGAAGTTTGGGACACTTTTGAGCGGCTCCTGGGACACCACAGCCAAAGTCTGGCTCAATGAGAAGTGCATGATGACCTTGCAGGTACGCTGACATTTGTGGGATGTTACTCTGAACGTCTCTTTGGGTTTTCCTGAAAAGGCAAATTTGTCAGATACTGTATTTTCATCTGATTTCATCTATGCAACTATAACAAGCAAAAATATCTAAGGTTGTTGCGACAGAGGAAAATCTGTGCTTGTTAATTTTGCTACAGGGACACTCTGCAGCAGTGTGGGCAGTGGTCATCTTACCAGAACAAGGCCTTATGCTGTCTGGATCAGCAGATAAGACCATAAAGCTTTGGAAAGCTGGACGCTGTGAGAAGACATTTACAGGTGAGAGTTTGCAGGTGGTTGACATCAGTAAACAAATAGTTTTTGTCTGTTTTTTAATTAGATCTATACAAATAAAAGTGTAACTGTGGCTGTTCATAAGTAGAATTGTTGGCTAAGGGTTTAAATGAGTGCCCCAGCTAAAGTGTTTCAAATTTGCCTTTGTTTGAATATGGTTGTTGTAAGCTTTTTTTTTTTTACCTTCAATACTTTTTAAATGATTTTAGCCATTAAAACCTGTGGAATAGGATGAAATTGAATAAATGGATGACATTGTCAGATCAAAATTTTCAAATAGTTAATGGTATAATTATTTTGGATAATGATGTTCATCTATTCCACTATGATAATTAAAAACACTTGCCTGGGGGTCCATTATATTTAAAATTCCTAATTACAACTCAACCTGTTTTCTTCCATTTTAGGTCATGAGGACTGTGTAAGGGGACTAGCAGTGATCAGCAACACTGAGTTCTTCTCTTGCAGCAATGATACTAGTATCAGAAGGTGGCTAGTGACAGGCGAATGCGTACAGGTCTATTACAGCCACACAAACTACATCTACAGCATAGCTGTCTTCCCTAATAGCCAAGGTTTGTTCATTTATATTGATATTTAAATGTCTATGAAAGAGCACACTGGTAGACTTGTAATGTGTGCGTAACGATCTGCTGCTGCCTAGTCATTTATTGAACCAGCATCCATTTGTTTTCCTGCCGTAAGATGGTAGCTGGCTCACACTGACCTTAGACTGATGCTTTTCCTTTTAGATTTCATAAGCACAGGGGAGGACAGGACTTTGAGGATATGGAGGCAGGGAGAGTGCTCTCAGACCATCCGTCTGCCTGCTCAGTCTGTGTGGTGCTGCTGTATTCTACCCAATGGTGACATAGTCATTGGGGCCAGGTAAGAACTGCCTGTGTCATGCTAATGTGTGGTCATTCCATAATCTTTTCCTTGATCATGCCACACCTCAAATATTTAGATGCCTTTTTCTGCTACTGTTTCGTGCTCTCATTGCTGACATCACTCCTGCTTTCACCGAACATGATGGAGATTTTCAGTAAGTAGTTTGTGACTAACCCGGATGCTGCTCCTCTGCCCACAGTGATGGCATTATCCGTGTGTTTACGGAAGCTGAGGACCGCATAGCAAGTGCAGAGGACTTGCAGGCTTTTGAGGATGAACTATCCAAAGCCACTATTGACCCCAAGACAGGCGACCTTGGAGACATCAAAATGGAGGACCTGCCTGGAAGGGAACACCTTAATGAGCCTGGTCAGAAAATAGACTGACATTTATTTTATCACACACATGTAATCCCTAAATCTGGCGGTTTTGCTTCAAACCAAGATCGCACAGTTCACCCTGATAATTTTCTTTTGCTGATTTCCTCCAGGGAATCGTGATGGACAGACACGTCTGATAAAAGATGGACAAAAGGTGGAGGCATATCAGTGGAGTGTCAATGATGGCCGCTGGATGAAAATTGGAGACGTGGTCGGAGGCTCCAACCAACAGACCTCCAAGAGCGTGATGTATGAAGGAAAGGTAAGGCTGTTCGCTTACTGACAAGGCAAACTATGCATAATTGCATGAGAGCAGTCAGGAATGACTCCTGATCTCCCCTCAGGAATATGACTACGTCTTCACCATCGACGTGAATGAGGGAGGGCCATCCATGAAGCTGCCTTACAACGTCTCAGACGACCCCTGGCTGACAGCGCACAACTTTTTGGAGAAGAATGACCTCAACCCCATGTTCCTCGACCAGGTTGCCAATTTTATAATAGAGAACACTAAAGGACACGAGGTGGGACCGGCTCAGCCTGCTGCTGGTGACCCATTCACTGGTGAGGCCAAAAGAGATACTTGTTATTCTACTTTTAGAAACAGTCAGTGTCTTGTGCTAACATACTGTATATTTCAAATAATTTCATCATGGTATTTCAACATTGTTAGACTGAATCTATATTTCGCTAAAGGTGTTTTGTCTGTTCATCTGACAGGAGGCGCTCGATATATCCCCGGGGCTTCTGATGACCGGCCAGGCTTTGGAGCTGATCCCTTCACAGGTACAATTATTTACTCAGTTGTTTTTTCACAACCTGAACGTCACTAGAAATGTTCCTTTCACAGCTGTTTTTTCTCCCCACAGGCTCCGGTCGCTACATCCCTGGGTCGGGTCCAAACCCAAGCGCTCCTGGAGGTGTGGCAGATCCCTTCACAGGTGAGACACTTGCTGAAGTAACCTCTGAATTTTGACAACCCAGTATAACTGTTCAGTGGTAGACCCATGCACACATTTCTCCTGGTTTTAATCCTTAAATGCTGAGTGTTTCACTCACTGGATCTCTTCCCTACTCTGCAGGAGGAGGTGCGTACTCCTCAGCAGCCCTCAGACAGACAGCAACCAACATCTACTTCCCCAAGACTGATGGTGTGACCTTTGAGCAAGCCAATTCCTCACAGATCATCGGTGAGTTTCAAGTAGGAGTTTGATGATGTGGCTCTGGTCTGCATTTGTTAGTTGTCAATGACAGACATTTCTAAGAATGTAATGAATGTATTTTGGGCTGTTTGAACTGTCCTTAGGCCCTGATTATGTCACACTAGAGACTTGTGTATTTATGTATTTATCTCTGTGCTCTTCTCATTGATTTGAAGTGTGTTGGGCTCAGTTTGAAGAAGGTCATTCAGCTTGAATTAAAATCTTATGACCGTTTGGAGGATGGTTTGGTCACTGTCAATAAAATCTGACCAGACCACATCACCGCAGTCCTAATGAAGCATAATAACTTTTTTTTAGCATTAAACTCTTATTAAATGATGCTTTTATGACACATACTTAGTCATGAATATTTCACTTTCGTTAAGGCCTCAGATTTTATACCAAATTTAAGGGGTTTTAAGCGTGACATCATTAAGATATTGTACCAAAATGCCTTTTCCCCTGGTTCATTAAAGCTTCCTTACTGTGTCAGGTCAATGATTTGTTCTTTCCTCACCAGCCAAGATCAAGGAGCTGAATGGAGGTGCCCCTTCAGAGCACAAGCTGTCTGAAGAAATTCTGGAAAGCCTTGAGAGGCTGCTGAGCTCTGTGTCTGAGCCTAACTCCCCCGCATCTCCCCCAACTATCCAAGAGATCAACCTGCTGTGGAAGGCCGCTCACTGGCCTGAAGGTACAGTAACAATGTTTTTTGGGGTTGACTTTATGGTTTCTGGCAAGATGATTATTATTTAAGTTTTTTCAGTTTATTACTGCTCATTAACCAAACTCTCATTTTCTTCCCACTGGACTTTAGACATTGTGTTTCCTGTCCTGGACATTATGAGGCTGGCAGTGCGCCACCCACAGGTTAATGAGAGCCTCTGTGGAGAGGCCGAGGGAGTCCAGCTGTGCAACCACCTGCTGAGCCTGATGAGGCCTGAGGGGCGTCCTGCCAACCAGATGCTGGCGCTACGGACTCTGTGCAACTGCTTTAGTGGCAGACACGGTCGAGCCCTCCTCATGGCCCAGCGTGAAACGGTGCTATCACGCGCTGCCGACCTGGCCACCGTGTGCAATAAGAACATCCACATTGCCCTGGCCACTCTGGTGCTTAACTACGCTGGCTGCCTGCACAGTCAACCCGATCTCGAGGCCAAGGCCCAGTGCCTGTCCGTGGCCAGTAGAGCTCTGGAGACGGTACAAGACAAGGAGGCTGTGTTTAGGCTGCTGGTGGCCTTGGGAACCACTGTGGCCTCAGACCAGACAGCCCAGGACCTGGCTCGCTCCCTGGGGGTCAACTCTCAGATTTCCAAGTACTCATCAGTGTCTGATCCATCGAAGGTGGCCGAGTGTTGCCAGCTGGTTTTAAAAGAACTACAATGATGTGAATGATTAGAGAAAAAAAAGCACTCGTTTCTTACTATCACTCTGTTCTGCTTAATCGGTTGTGGTGGAGACTTGAATACTTGTATGTTCTGCAATAAAAAAGAACAAATTAAATCTCTGCTGATGCTTAGCCTGTGTTTTTATTACTGCACCACCTTTTCAAAGCCACTTGACTAACTTGTTGGGTAAATATAGGAAGAATGCATCTAATAACAGCTTCTAATGTCTATGAAATATCAATAGTGTATATGTCTCGCTTTTAAACATGCCTTATTTTATTTCCTACTGCCATGTTACACATTAACTTGGGGTAATAATGCTCAATAAACTATTATTACAGTGCACCTGAAATGCAAAATGTGGCTGGGGGGAAAACAACTGTAGTGAAAGACATGTAGATATTGTGATTACTGAATGTCCTGACAGTCAAGATGGCTACTTACGAGGAGTTAATAAGTCCACTGCTAAGCTGTAGAATTAGGTGAAAGAGCTTTATTTACAATTCAAATTGTCTAAGCTTGGTAACGGTGGTCTTCTTGTGTCTGAATATATATCCTATAATGCTTTCCACTTGTTAATGGGATACTAGAGAACCAGTTTGCCTTATCCAGCGTTTAATAAAAGAGTCACCATTGTATCTACTACACGATACTAGATATATCTTGCTTATTTGACATGACTTATACAAAAATAAAACACAACAAATGGAGCTAGTTATAGTTAAAGTTGAAATAGGTTGGAAATGCGTTCCTTTCGCATTCGCCCACCGGAAGTATTTGTTTATAACTTCCGGGTTGTTGTTAGAAAAATTGGCGGTTTGTTGTTTGGGTGTTGCGTTTTCCTAAAACCGACTAAAGTTTGTTGAATTTAGTACAAATGTGATATTAAACGCAGTATATCTGGACTTACTCGTATAATACTTGTAACTTAAGTGCTTATTTGTAGTGTTTGTTAATTTGCTAACAGTTTGTTAAATGTATGTTGACAAACTCAAAACACCTTCGAAAGCTAGCATAAGTTAGCCTACAGTGAGCTTTGTAGCTAGCGGCTAAAGCTAGCTAGCTAGGCTGGCTCTTTGACCAGTCGCCACCGGACGCTCTCACACTGCTCAGTCCATCTCGGAATAATGGCGAACCTAGCATTGCTGCAGAAAAAGAATGGGAAGTATCTGTGGTTTGCTCTTCTTGGGCTGGGACTTCAACCAGACACTGCAGTGTCGTCAATCGCCGGCAAAAGCAACATTAATGCGAAACACATCAACCTGGGACCGTGAGTGTGCTTTTACTGTGGATAACATTAACAGATTAATACCGTGTGATGTTAGCTAACAAAGCTGTTCAAAGTTCTGTCCTATTGAGAGTCGATTACGACTTCTATTATGTGGCTGCTTTCACTTGGTTATATTGAAGTTGTCATTCACAGTACACTTGACGTTTAGGTTTATTCTAACTCGTATAAATGTTGTATGGCCAATAGGAATATGTTCGACAAGCCAAACAAAGATGCCTTCTACATAGTGATTAATTTCCTGCTGGAGAAACTCAACCCGTCACGATTTAATGAGGCATACAGGTAAAGTTATGTATAAACAACTATTGCAATTTATATATAAAGTGCCTAGGATTCAGTGTCAAGCAACTGAATATGTATTTTGTTTAGGCACTGCTGGCCTGTTTTGAACCACAAAGCAGATGCTGAGTTCCGTAAAGTTACCTGCGCATGGCTGCGAGAAGTAATGGTAAGAATCTGAATATTTACCTGTAATGTTTATCTTCTTCATCTGTCCAGATAGTGGATACATTACAGATTACATACCCCATTTGTTTCCTCACAAATGGGGAATCGTGCCTGTCCATCCTCTCGACCTTTGTTGCTTCATTCCTTCTGGCATTCCTTTTCTCCTCACTCTCATCTTTTCTTTACATACTCACCATAAAGGTCAGTGTACACACTTAGTACAACATTAAAAAAAATACATAAATCCACAAATAAAAACAGTCGTCTACTGAAGGTAAACAATAAACTTCACGTCTCACTTCCTCCCTCATGTTGTCTCTGGGTTTTCTAGTCGAATTTTGCATTAAGTTGAAATTTTTCAACTTTATGTACATGATTCTTTTTTTTAATCACTGACCAAATGTTCAAACTTCAAAAAGGAGCCATTAAATTATGTAATAAACTGACATAACAGAACTTTTTTTCAAATATGACAATCATTTGTTTTTAAACTGTGTAGGATGAAACTGCAAATGCAGGCTCCAAAGTGGTAGCATCCTTGTTCCTCTCACCCGGAGGCCCCAAGTTTATCAGCTTGATGCTTCATTTGGCCAATCACGTCATGGTGCAAGAAATGAAGACATTCAAGACAGGTAAGTCTAGTTAGAAAATCTTTTATTGTTTCACATTGTTTAATTTAACGCTCCATGGAGTTGGCACTCAAAAGACTCAAATAATCTTCAATGTTGTCATTGTCAGATGACAGCTGGGTTCCTGAGGCTGCAGCGATGCCCGCTTCCTCCCTGGACATGGCAGTGAAGAGACTCAACCTGATCAATACCAGGTTTTTGAACGCTGGAGTGGAGCAGGACCGTTTTCTTCACGAGTATCAGAGACGAGCGCAGTAAGTCCCTGGTAGTCCATCTTGACACCCTGGACAGGGCTGGATGTTATTTCATTTGCATCAGTAGACTGATGTTTTCTACCTCACCACTACAGTAAACCCAATGAAGCCCAATCTCTGTGACTTGCGCAACTCTGTCATTAACAGAAGTTATGTATGTGATGTAATGTGTTGCGTATACAACACATAATAAAATATAATCAATATCAGTGGTAAATGAAATACAAAATTGTTTGAAATTCAATAGAAAAAGTCATTTTTGTGATCATAAGTTTTAATTTACTGTTCTTTTCAAAATTCTGAATTAGCAACAGTGTTGAAAATATAGTTTTGTGCATTGCCTACATCTATTCATTGTAATATTTTGTTCACCCTGTAACATAAGAGGAGCAGTAAATGGTAGTAGTCAATTTAGGATGATACTTAATTTGTCCAAGAGGGAAGATGTTTTCATCATTACTTTTTTTTTTGTAGTCACTTGAGAGGCCGTTGACACGTTGCCAGCTATTTTCATAAACGGACATTTCACCGTCTCCGCTTTCAAGAAGATCTTCGTTTACACTTACCCGTGTATATATACACAAGAGCATG